AGGCAAATGCAAATGGCTCTGGGCGGTTGTGTGTGTGTGTGTGTGTGTGTGTATGTGTGTGCCCATCTCCACCCACTCACTCCTCCTGCCCCTGAGCAGTCTTGTGGATTCTCCCCCATTTTGTTTTTTTGAGACAGGATCTCTTTACGTAGCCCTGGATGTGGCTACGTACATCAAGCTGGTTGGAATTACGAAGTACTGGGACTAAAGGTGTGTGTTGTCACATTTGGCTGCAGTCTGCTTTTTTAGCCAGGCGTGATGGAGCACATCTTTAATTCCAGCACTAGGAAGGCAGAGGCAGGTGGATCTCTGTGACTTTGAGGCCAGCCTGGTCTACAGAGCGAGTTCCAGGCCAGCCAGCACTGTTACACAGAGAAACCCTGTCTCGAAAAACAAAACAAAATAAAAAGTTACATTTATTTATGAGTGTGTTTGCACATGTGCCATGGTGCCTGTTGGAGGTCTGGAGAGAACTTGCCCAAAGTTGTCCCGGCCTTACGTTTTGTGGGTCTCTGGGGTGAATTTAGTTCGTTAGACTTGGCAGCAAGTATCTTTCTCAGAAAAAGCCATGACATCGTCCTCTGCGCTGTTCTCTGATGTCATGTATTTTAGACAGGCAGCGCCTGTCATTTTGTATTTCAAGGGCTCAGTAGCTACGTGTGGCCAGTAGTAACCGTACTGTACACCATCACATAGGCAGAGACAAACGTGGTCTTTGCTCTTAGGGCCAGCTCCACTGACCCGGGCTGTCTGAGGAAGGGCAGTGAAGCCGCTGCAGAATGCGGTGCAGGCTTTCTTTCCCTTCCTCCAGAGTCGTGCTGCTGATATCTGAGGTCTCCTCTCTTAGGCGTCTCAGCCTCTCAGCACCTTGGAAGTCCCCCCGAAGTGCTGCCAGCCCTGTAGCCACAGCCCTGCAGGTCCCTCGGCGCTTTGCTCTGGTTCTGGTGCATTGACCTAAGCCTGGCTTTGCTGCATTTCCACAGCGCCACTGCAAGGGGCGGGGCCAGAGGGCGCGCTGCGCCGAGGCTCCCTCTTGATTGGTCGGTGGCCCGGTTTTAATCTTGCCTGCCGGGATGAGAGAGGGGGTTAACCCCCCCGTCGCTGAATCTCGGGCGCTGATTGGTTAGTCATGTGGCGCGAGCGGTGGGTGCACCCCGCGCTGATTGGCCGGCGGGACGCGCGCGTACGGAGGGGCGGGGCCGCAGCTAGGGGAGCGCAGCTCGCGGCGTGTGTTCCAGGCCAGTGTTTCCTGCGGCAGGGCGGCACCTGAGCTGCAGCGGAGCGGCGCCATCCTGTGGGGGAGCCATGAAGCACTACGAGGTAAGCAGCGCGGGGCCCGAGCCGTGGCTGCGGCAGACAGACCGCACAGTCCCCTTCAGGGCCTCGGGACTTTTTTTTTTTTTTAATGGTCTGGCTCCCCGCCGATGGCGCAGGCGCAGTGTGCCCGGGGCCTGCTGGTATATCCCATTGCGCATGTGCAAGGAGATATTTATGCTACCCAGGGCTTTTGGAGGGGGAGGGGGATGCCTTTTCTTAGGGTCTTGCAGGGCCTGGGAGAGGCTTGCAGCTTTTTTGCAGCATCCTTGGTGGCCCGAGTGGCAGGTGTTCAGAAGTGCAGTGCGGAACACTTGTTCTTGGTGCGAGCGACTCTCTTGCACAATCCTTGCACAATGTCAGCGCCTGGGGCTCAGGAAGGGGCTCTGCAACTGGCCTGCCTCTTCCGACCTTCGCACCCACTCCTCGCTGTAGACGCCTGGGCGGAGTTGGTTCCACTGTCAACAAGCCCGTGATCGCTGGGGAAGAAATCTGAACGCGCAAGATCATTCTGGAGCTTACGTCTTCTCACTCAATCTTGGGTCCCTTTTCCTCTAAAACGATGCTCTTTTTGACCAAACTGATTATTAGTTTCGTTATTGCTGACTTTTAAGTAACTATCATAAAACAGTAACCGATTGCACACATTCGTAGTAAGAATGCGTTAGTGAGGGCTGACTGACGTTTTCCTGAGGTTCTGTTATCTTCTCCTCGAACTCATGGTCCTGCTGAGGTAGGATGCTTACTTAATCGCTTCCTGATGATGTATGTGAAAGTCAGAGATGTCAAGTGAGTCGTCGAAAGATCCCAGCTAGTATCTGCAGAACACAGAGGGGGAAGGAAGATACCACGAGCCATGCAGTTCTGTAAATGAAAGCTAACAAACTGAGAGATTGCTTGTATTTCTCCCCAAATTTTAAATTTGTAATGAAATTTCCCCAGTTTTCCTCGGTAGTCATTTTCACTCTATAGTTCAGTGTTATTAAGTCTATTCATATTGTTCAGATGTCACCACTGTCCATCTCCAGCCTTTTTAGACTAGAGTGAGGTTAGGTTGTTTTCTCCTGCTCCCTCCCTGCCTCTGCCTCTGCCTCCTCTACTTGTAGAGCCAGGGATGGAGCTCAGGGCCTTGCTCCTGCTAGGCAGGCCTCTTATGACCTCCATTACACAGTATCTCCTTATTTCCCACAGTCTTAGCCCCTGGCAACCACTGATTGTCTCTGCAAATTGCAATACTTTAGGAATCTCCAATGTGTGGGAGATAATTTTATTAATTTATAATTATTTATTTGTGGTTTTTCAAGACAGGGTTTCTCTGTGTTGCAGCTCTGGCTGTCCTAGAACTCACTCTGTAGACTAGGCTGACATAGAACTCACAGAGGTCCGCCTGCCTCTGCCTCTCCATTTGTCACCAATTCCTGGCTGATAATTTCATTTTTATGACAAGTTGAAGCCAGATGGCGGTTGCACACACTTAGGAAGCAGAGCCAGGTGGATCTCTGTGAATTCGAGGCAGCTCTGGATCTGCAGAGCCAGATCCAGGACAGGCACCAAAACTACACGGAGAAACCCTGTCTCGAAAACAAACAAAAAAACAAAACAAGTTAAATACCGCTACTTCTGCTCATCATCTGTATTTTGATTATTTTTTTTTTTTTTTTTGGTTTTT